CGCGCATGCACACACACACACACACACACACACACACACACACACACACACACATATATATATATATATATATACACACATATATATCTGTGTAAAGGTCGTTATAGAAGTCTATGAAAGTCTCCGATTTTTATGCCGCTGCTATATTGTCAACTCTACGGTCGACAATCACATCCCGTGAATGCTCGCTCCACATGGCGACGTCTTTGTCCTTGGTGTCATAGGAGCCTATAACCGAGGTGCATAAAGTGCCTTATGAAGTATTATCGAAAAATTATGCGCCACTCAAACGTTCCTGGGGCCGCTTTTCAAAGCCATCGAGAGAAAATAAAAATCAGCAGCACGCTGGGGTCACGGACGCTGCGCGAGCGCCCCCAATAATCTCGTTTGCGAGTTTACGAACGCGCGCATTTATTTTCGGTCTCATGCGGGCTTTTATTCACAATTCTCCTGATTTACTGCCTAAATTTTCCGTCACAGCCGAACGGACCGCCTTTATTTCACATTTTTGTGCGTCGGTGTGAAAGGGTTGAGAGCCAACGGAGTCTGAACAGTCCTCGCCGCGGGCAGGCGACGCCCTTTCAGCCCGCATGAAAGCGCGTCTCTGTGCCTCGCCCGGCCCGCAACCGTCGGCAAAGTGTCGCGGCCTGTCACGTAGCATGACAAACCGCAGCCGGCCCTTGTCAAGCGATGTCCGCTTTCGAGCACCTGTCATTGAACATGGTAATGCGAGCAAAATTGCCCCCTTACGAGAATCCGCAGAAAAGTCCGTAATTATGCAAGTTTGGCCGAACGGGAGTGCATTGTACGACGATGTAAACATGGGTAGATTCAATGCGCGAACCGTGTTGTTATCACACTGGCTCGGCTGTGCGTGCATTTGTGTTACAATATCGGTTCGGTATACTTCTATCGAATTATATTCCCCAAATTGATACACTCTGCGTAGCCGACTACGGGCCGCGCTGTGTTAGTTTAAAACACGTCAAAACTCAAGGGAACGATAACCCTCGTGCGACAAGACGTGCCTTGTTTATTTCTCACTATTGTCGTCTGCTCTCGCTCTGTGTAGCGCTCGGGAGAAAAGCCGCTCGAGTATAGCGTTCTCAATAGTCAATGCCGACGCTGCTGGCAAGAGTTATTTGATAGAATATGGTAATTGGGTGTATACGCTGAGTGGAGGAGTTGACTTGTTATAATCAATCGCGCTGCATATGTGCCATAAAACACCCACGTTGCTAACTCGTGGTTGAAAGCGCAACAGCGTTCGTGTGTTTTTTACGCTTTGCGATTTGTGCGCTTTATTCGGCTATAATATGATCGAGACGAGATATACGCGATGGATTTTAGTAAACATCGTGCTGTATCACAAACAGGTCACCCGAACGATTGACAATGAATACACCATGCATCCGACATAGTTCGGCGACGCTTTCTAACGACACACACGGTTACCGTCGCGTAGTTTGTTATTCAGGAGCGAAACACTGATAATTAGGATTCTCACACAAACTACGCGGCACGTTTTTATGGTAATCTTCGCCGTGATCTATGTTTGGTGTCCCGGGGGCATTTCGCGTTGTCTAGACACGCGTAGTGCGTCCCAGACGAAGCCAGGCTGCGGATGGTAACGGTCGGAACGTCAATCGGTTGAAAAGATGTGTCACACGATATTCTGCGCGTCTGCTTTTATGCGCGTCTAGTCGGTGAAAAATGATTGCGTATGCGGAAACATTTTCTATAGTTTTCGTTTTGCCCCGTTACTGTCTCATCGTTATCTGCTTATGCATGCACGCCTCCTCTCTCTCTCTCTCTCCTTATCTTTGACTGCTCGCTTCTCATCTCGATCTCTGTTTTTGCCATTTATCTCTATCGCCTCCGTGTTTCGTTTTGAGCGCATGTATGCTTAAAACACTTTTACATTTTTCATTGAATTTCGTACTGATCGTTAATTTCGCTCCATTTTAGGTAAAACGTGAGTTCGGTTGCTACGATGATATTGAGGAAGTGGACGGCGAAGACGTCCGTCATTGCAATTGGATACGCTTCCTTCATACATCAACAGACGTCCAGGCGATCAACACAGTCGGGGTACGTCCGATTGACGGGGTCTAGATTGCCTATTAGAATATGCGATTTGCGATAGATAAAACCTGACAATACCCGCACCCTGTTCTCAAGAACATCCTATATAGTTATGGCTTTCATAAGTCTGAGACTTCGCAATTTTTGCGCCACGCGTCATGTACGATGAATACGAAACCTTAGACCTACGATTCCATAACTTCCTGGCAACGGGCGTCTGAATAATCAGAACAAAAACGCCGACACTATCAACTTTCGCCGCACTATCAACCCTAAACATTTTACGTGTTTTCTTTTAGATGAAGTTTGACGGGGAGACGATATACGTGGTCGTCAAGGAGCTCCGCCCAAACACAGAACTAGTCGCCTTCCTTGACATTGCCAAGCCGGTGAGCGGGTCGCTCGACGATCTGAAGATGTCACCACCCATCCCCGTAAAAGAATCGGACGAAGAAGATCCAGAAGTCACGGCTATTTGCCGCGACGACGACGGCAGCAGCGCTAAGGTTGCAGCAACGGAGAGCATCGCGGTCGGGGAGGTATCGGAGGCGGTGAAGCCCGTCTCTCAATGGCCGCAGAGGAAGCTGCGCGAGGCGTCACTTCTGGAGGCGATGGAGGCGATGTACGATAACATTGACATGCGCGACCTCCGGTCCTCGTCGTCGTCGTCATCGGCAGCGTCGTACCGCAAGAGTAGTTCTGATGCGAAGGTCTGCAGGTTGGCGTACTCCCCGAAGCCGATCGTCGGAAGCCTCGAGAATCATCAGAAGCATGGCGACATCAAGCGACCAATCGCCGTCGCTCTGCCGCAAATCGAAGACGTGGATCGTCGGCGCAGTGGCGACCAGCCTCCCCGCAAGTCCCTGTCATCAGGCCAGCTAATCACCAGCCAAGCGCAGCTAAGGCCACAGTCCACAACGTCGAGCGATAAATCACAGGCTCACCGGCCGCCTGTCACGCTGGCATCGCCCGCGATTCGCCCGGTAATCCCCGAGGGATCGAACCAGCAGCGCGGGATACCTCTATCGCCGCCGATGAAACCCGTGCCAGTGCGTTCCAATCTGCGTACACCACCTCACGCCGCCAAGGAGACCAGCAGCATATTCCCGCACTATCCCGTCGCGCACTGGGGTTCGTTTCCTGGAAGGTTCCCGCCGCAATGCTTCCCGGGATATTTCTACGCGTCGCCGATGACGCGCATGCGCGTGGATGGCGCGGGGCATGCTAAAACATGTAAGAGCTAATCTCGAGATCTTATTCTCAAGAATTGGGATAACCGATGGATTTATATAACGTACATGGGAGCTAGTAGCGATTGTGATCTTATTTCCTCGTCGTGTTCCAGTAAGTGAAAATACACTGATGGAACGGCATTTCTAACTGAGCCTGCTTAACATTATCACGAATCACTAAATAATAATAAAATACATACTGGCAGAATCAACAGCGAGAATAAATAACAGCATTTCTATTAATACACACGAAACAACATTATTTCGAACATTTCCGTTATTTTCTTCGCAGACGACCAAGCGCCGTTGCTCGATCTTCCCCTCGCTCGCAGTCTGGATACACCTCCCTCCGACCACGACGATTCCGCTAGTCAGAGGTCGCCCCTAGGTAGCGAGCACTCGTCAGACAGCGTCAATATAGCATCTCCTAGGGCTTTTACTGCAAAGGTAGGTCATCATTCTACGTGGGCTGCTATCTCGCCTGTATGATCGCTCCCCGTAACAATACCAGCGATGATATTTGTGATACTGGTGATGATATTCGACTTAGACGGACCCCGAATAAAAGTCTCGCGACCACTGTACGCTACCTTCAAAGTAGCCCCAGCGATAAGGAGAATCACGATGACCTAGTTTTATTTTTAATATACCGGTCGTGTAGAATAACTGGCGGAAGCAAGCCAGTCAACGTAACGCAGGTTGGCTCCTTGAAGCATTGACAACTATTATAGCAGACGATCGCCACGTATACACACACCGCTAATTATATTCGCATGCATGTACGCGCTTTACCTCTGTCAACTTTATAAACTCAACTTTGACACCATTCTGGCCGAGCTAACCAGTAATTTGTCGATACATGATTCAGTGGCGCGGTCGGGTTGTGTCATTCGAGCAAGTGAGTCACCCGTGCAACACCTATCAAGAACAGTTTTGATGCAGTTGTTAACAAAACCTCTTTCGCTCGTCGCAAACAACACTCGTCTACAGTTGTAGTCCGCAAAGTGGTGGGAATTTTTTTTGAATTTATAGGCGTACGTACTACGCACTATAGCGAGGGAAGTATTCGGACATACGCCGAAACTACCTATCCATTATCCCGTATTAAAACCAGTTTGGGGCACGATAGCATCTCCCGTTCCCTGCTGTTATTATGTCACGGTCAGCTGCCATTACGCAAACCCGCACAGGGTTGAAGTCGGGGAATAAGTGTAGCGCGTTCGAAAAATTTCCGTCGGCAAGAAAACGAGCTAGAAACCAAAAAGAACAAAGCTATCTTTATACGGTTACGCTAGCATCACGAGTAGTATGCACGGTAGGAACGGTGATGTAAGTTTATGGACCAAGCCTAATCGATTCGAGGTGCAACAGAAAATTAGAATGAGCATAATTTTTTTTAATTTCTTCGATTAAATCATAACATTAGTAATCCATGAACGCATAAGTGTAAAAGCTTCTAATACCCAAATTAATGCAGTAAGTTATAAACGGCGCACGACAGACGGACGGGCAGACAGATAGGCAGGTCGATCAGACAGTTATAGAGACGCAATATAGCGTGATGGCCATACGTGAACCCTTGCATGGTTACACGTAAAAATACGCGGTTGCACGCACTTGTCAGTTCTATCAACGAGTAGTAAGCGGTTGCTTGCGTTGTATTGCCCGAGGCAGGTTCTGTGTGTGTATGGGGGGGAGGGGGGGTGATATGCGTACGTATAACTCGTAGTTTTCTTGTTGTTTACGAAACGGCGTCCTAGTTTTCTGACTGTTTTGAGGCGGTCGCCTTACAACCGTAATTAGATGGTGGAAGTCAATGCCGCTCGTATAATATTAGCATAGTATTACGCGCCCTAACCGCATTGCTTGCACGCGATGTGAAACTGCGCCATTTACTACGAAAAGTTTATTTGCGTCGTCATCTTCGCAATAGCCAAACGCTTTGTCGTGTCTTGATTTGTCTCAGAGTCTATTTTATTCACTCTAGTCACGCGTGCAGACGCGTACGCCGGCAGCGCCCCCTAGGAAACGGAAGCGCAACATGCTACCCTGTGACGTATGCGGTAAAGAGTTTGATCGACCGTCCCTTCTACGCAGGCACATGCGGACTCATACAGGTAAGGAAAATCACAGTTATGCTAAGTGAAATAATTGCATTAATAAAATTACAACGAGCACGCGATTTCCGACAGGCTTTTCTTCTTCTCCTATATTATATTTATGTATATTAATATTATATAATATATATATATATATATATATTATACATACATACATACATGTAGATATATGTCATTCTTTGTATATTATAGCTAATTTTAATAAAATTACAATGAGCAGGCGATGGGAGACAATTAACAGACTTTTTCTCCCACGATCTTCTGTACTACCACACAATTATGACTGTTATGCCATACACTATAATTTCACTAATGGTTACATTTGCATTTGTAGGCGAGAAGCCGCACGAATGTGACGTGTGCGGAAAGAGCTTCAGCACATCCTCCTCCCTGAACACGCACAGGAGAATCCACAGCGGGGAGAAGCCCCATCAGTGCCAAGTGTGTGGCAAGCGTTTCACAGCCTCCTCCAATCTATACTACCATCGTATGACGCATGAGAAGGTATTATACGAATAGTGCAGCTTTCTTAATTTAGTTATAGCAAAGAGCCTATATTGATATATCAATATAGGCTCTTTGGTTATAGTAAAAATAATATTTCGGTGAGACAGTTTCAGGACAGCAAATAATTATCTAATAAATGCGCGAATCATTATGTATTTGTATCATCGATTGTAACCATCGTATGACATCGAATAAATGTTTCTACGCGATAGAAACAATAACTAACAATGGAAATGCGAACAGTCAGAATGATGGTAACAACCGCTAATAACCCCTGCCCATTATAACCGCAATATGATCCATTATGAATAACTCAATACTTGATTTACTCTTCAGGAAAAACCGCATAAGTGCACCTTGTGCTCCAAGTCATTTCCCACGCCCGGCGACCTCAAGTCTCATATGTACATACATAACGGATCGTGGCCGTTCAAATGTCACATATGTCACCGAGGCTTCAGCAAGCAGACGAACCTGAAAAATCACATTTTCCTTCACACGGGTAAGGAACCAATTAAGGTCGATTATGGCCACGTATAGCATGTACTGTTAGTCAATATTCCTTCTTGTGTATGTGCACAAGCATTCGCCGTGTTGACGTGGTTGTGAGTTGATACTCTGAACACGCGGAACCATATTTGTTTCCGCAGTTTACGCGGTTGGTCTAACTAATCGCCGACATCTTCTAAACTATAGATACTAATTAGTGCTTGCTTTGTCTTTGCAGGTGATAAGCCTCACATGTGTCACCTGTGCAATAAACGCTTTGCGCTGGCTTGCAATCTTCGCTCACATATGAAAACTCACGAAGGTAAGTGTCAGTTGACGAATCTTGGCTTCGATATGAATAATTATTTAGTCTATACTAACTTTATAATTCCATGCTCCAAAGTCATTGCGGCTGTGGCTAAGGCAGATCTACTGTCTCTAACATCTACTAACAGTGACTAATACCCAATTTAACATGTCTAATGATTTCGCGTAATTACCCATATAATTATGATTACCAATAATTATAATTAATATAATTTTTTTTAATACATTAAACGCATTATAAACGCAGATAATAGTACAGATACAGATACAGTAATGTACAAAGGAAGTACAATATCACGAAATTTAACTGGTACTATTTTCATCTCCGTAGGCGAAGGACAGAATGAGTGTTACAAGTGCGGCAAGGTATCCCTGTCTTCTTCTGGGAATTTTCTCAACGGATACTGTATTCAGTGCCACCAGAATCTCCCATCGGACCGCATTCACTCTGTCATCCAGTCAACGAAAACCGCAGTAGACATGTCTGCGTAAAGAAAGTTTTTGAAGGCGACTCATGGCAAAGCATATTATAGGCCTATACATGAGTGGAATTATCAGTGAATTTCCACAAAAGGGTATGTGGAGCGGAAGGCAGCGGCGCCCATGACGAATATATGTAGCCATGAATATAATTCTCATGTGACGTTTCATGAAATTAGAATTCGTATATACGACCAAGTTGTTTATGAATATCATTTATACTGTCGTATCGATGTAATCGTGATATTGACTTGCCCGTGACAGCGTTTGGTCCTTTTTAGTCAGTGATATTTGGATAAAAATGTTAGAACGTGAAGAAATCTATGCAACAGTACGTCATGCTCAAATTGTACAGATGTATTGCTCAATTTTAAACTGATAGCCTTAAAGGCAAGGACGAAGAAACGACTAGAGTTCGTAATGGATTATTTGTATAAATTATGTTATTCTCGAATATATTGTTTAGATTAGTGGATAATGGCCTATGTTATCAAATACCTCATGGTGTAAAACAAGTACACAGGTTGCCACTATATATATTTGTAGATGTATTTGCAGGCGTAAACGAGCAGACATATACGCGTTCTGGTGAGATTATGTACTGAAGGGGTTTCTTAGTCTTGAACTACACGGGAAACCAGTTATGTTGCTCGGATCAAGCCTGTATACGTTTTTGGGGAAAATGTACCCAATATGTAAGATATTTAGGGGGCACGCTGGCTAAATCACATATAAATAGGCTCCCAAAAAGAACCATGGAAAGCTGCAGACCCTTACAACGGGGTTTATTAGAGGTTTTGGGTCAGTAGCCATGACGGGCAGGCGATTAAAAAGCCATGCATTTTACCTATTCGTTTAACCCTTTTCTTTTCGTTGCAAAGTAGCTCAAAGGCAAAACTCCATGTCGCACAAAACACAGCCGTTCTTAGAGCCATTCAACGGATTTCAGCGCAACTTTGCCCAACTATCAAGCGCCATTTCCACAAGAATTCTCATATTTCACCGCCTGGCTGCGTTCCCAGTGTGTGCTTTCAAATTTGAAAATGCAGAGTAAAGCTACCGCACAATGCGTGGCTGAAAATGGAAAGGCGCATGCCTGAACAGCTTGGGGCAGTTTTTTTATAAAGTACCTCACAAGCATGTAAATTTCACGTCTAGTCAGCTAGAAACGCTCTCGAGCAGGTGTTCGGAGCGCAATTCTATACTTTCTGGGTAATTTCTTGTCGTCGGGTCTAATATAACCACTTCAATTTAAGCAGCTCAACAGCGAGCGAGAGAGAGAGAGGGGGGGGGGAAATTACCCATACAAAATGTCACACTAGTTTTTTTTCGAGAGAAGGTAAAATGAATCTCCTCTTTAAAGTTTTGAATTAATATATTATAATATGTTGTTGTAAACTGTTGTGGGGGATCGTGAGTCGATGCAGGTGTGGGTTTTTAAGTACTAATATTGGTGTTCGGGTAACGTGTACGGGTCACGGAGGTTGGGGGCTTCCATATATATACGCTATTTTACTAGTTTATCTACCTCTAATTCTACCTCAAATTAGTCTCCACACTTGTAAATGGTTGAGTGTTATTGCTTAGCTATGAAGACCATTATATATGAGATATGCGTGCAGTGTCGGTCAATGTGCTAAGTGAATATAAGTGGACACAGCGCCAAGACACGCGAATACAGTTTAGAAATAAGCAATAACAATTCTTCTCTCAGGGTAGATGTTGTGGATTAGACAATTATCTATGGGATATGGTATATTAAAATGTGGATTTAATCTATTGGGGTCTTATTTTTAAGAGATGTACACCATGCACTGTATGTATTCAATGGAATTGTCGCTGTTATTATCATAAAGCGTTATATATGTTGTAGTATGTGTCCTGAGTATATGCACGCACCATCTCTCACTTTCACCCCCGTGCGTCTATTGATTAGGCGTGCTTGTATGTATTTGTAATCGACTGTGTGGCATTATGGAACTATTATATTATATTATACCTCAACACTTTCCCGTATCGGTTGCGTTCATTTCCCTTATTATTATTAGATACAAAATGTACTGTTACTAAAACAAATCGTACGCGAAGTTATATCAACTTCATGGAACATGTTACAACGTATAACGTGTCACATGATTTCCATAAGGGCCTCAATAATTTCATCACGTTAACTTGTCTGCAAGCATTAAGAATAGGCGAGCATAGCAAAAATCAGGTATTACCCTTGCCTTATGAAAACTTGTTGGGACCTGCTACGCTAATCGTATCACCGCAAATATCGTCTACGTGTAAGCATGATGTTTGTCAAGATCCATTGCCATCTTCTTTGCCAACATTTATGCGCAGAATCTTCGTAGAGCTATGCAGATGATCAATAGAAGTTGAAACGAAGATAAAGTCGAGTTTGTTATATCGACATACTTTATTTTTGTGACCAAACATGATGTTATTGACGAAATAAACACGTAAAACTGTGTAAGCATTCATTTGTTGATACTTACTTGTTGCTCTTACTTGTTTGTCTGTAACAAAGAGTTCGATGTGTTTCGTATTAACTATGTAATTTTTTTTTTACTAATTACTTAATTAGTATAGTACTACTTAATTAATGTAATTACTATAATTACGATCTCATTTCACGTGATGCGAGTTAGCAAAGAGTCAGATAAGACTGATACACCGACAACGTTTTATTTAAAAATGATTAAGAACATGGTCATGTTTCAGTAATCACGATATAATGATGTATTATTCTCAATGTTCAACTCATAATAACTGATAATAATATAAATACTCGCCGGTTTATTTTAGAAGGAAAGTATTCAACTTAATCTTTATGTTTACCCCCACACACTCGCCAGTATTTTACATAATGTTCCGTGTTTTGCGTAGAATACTCTCTGCATATCAATGGTAATAACATTATTGAGAGGTATTCTTGCTATTTTATCAAATCAATGTGTATTTAAATGCATGCCCTATTTAGTTGTGGTGCAGCTGGCAATACGCTGGTGCCTTGTCTGGACTGGTATATTGTATAGTGGCACCATCTAGTGGGTGCTCGCGATTAGGAAGTTTATTAGAAAATATTAAAACTAGCAGCTGATTTCACAGCCTGCAATTGGATGCAATTTAGTGCAATAGTTGCGCAAGAAAGCTATATATTTATAGAATAGGGGTAATAATGGAGAAAGAATGCATCTCTGCTGCATCACTAGGAGAATAAGGAGGGTAGCGTTTAGTTGCACTATTGAGCTAATATTAAAAATAACAACTATATCAAGAGCTTATAAAGAAGGTATATTTTTCTTCTCTTCTCCTTCTTTATACGCTCTTGACTATATGCATAACTGAAAGAACCGGACGCCTAAATCCACGAATCTGCGTATAGTGATGAATAGATTAATTACTTCACCCGCCCAACCTACATCTAATAATCGTGACACAAGTCAAACCGAACCGACATGGAGTTACTCAGTACATTTTCTAACCTTGAATGTACACCGCACATACACTCATGCATTAAGGTGGACAATGAACCTGAATTTCCCTATCAACCCGCGTATAGTCAGCAAGCTGCTACGCTCTGACAGAAGTTATTTTCCATGAAGCAGAGATGTTATCATGTGCGTGCAATTGGTCAGAAGCGGCAGAGTTTGATAAAATTGTGTATTTAAAAAGGAGAAGACATATTCAGAAAGAGTTTTCCATAAAAAAATGTACAACGCTACGCCTCCCTTATGGAATAACAGAAGCCCAATTATCTCAACATCTTGATCACCCACAACGCCGAATAAAATTATTCATGTTCTCTGCTGACGTTGGTCGGCGCTAGTGTCGCGCATGAGAAGTAGCGTATGGCGTTAAACTAAATATATTCGCATCACTGCGTTGTCGCTAACTCATTTTCCAAGCAGGGGTAACGCCTCGGGCAGTTTGCGTTCTGGACTGTTGACCGTTGGCAGTTCGCCATTGCCGCTGCCAAAGTCTGGTAACTGCCCCCCCCCCCTTCGCTAGCTACCGCCCAGCAGGTGGCGCTTACGAAATTTGGGCGCAGCCAGAGCAATACATGTAAATGATCTCGTTTCATACACGCATCGTATACACCAATTTATATAGCTATGTATGTCTAGTACGTAGAGCTACCGGATTTTATAAATGTAGCAGCCAACAAACATGTCACACGGGGATGTTAGAAAACTCATTCAATCTACTTTGGGTCAGTCGATGGGTTGTCGGGTCTTTTTGTGAACGTCGTCTTACATCCCCTCCACTGCACACACCAGCAGAGACAAAGTAATATCTTGGCAACCGTGTTCTGTAGGTCTTTCGTGTGGTTTCTTTCGAGATAATATCATCAACCCTAAAACTCGATCCTTCTCTATCCGGCATGACTCCTTAGAAACACGGTTCCCTTTGTTATCTGAGTGATTTTGGCTCGTTTTCTTTTTATTTTCCCCTTCCCTCTTATTAGTGACTTCCTGCCTACCTAGTCGTTTTTCATTACAAATATATGATACCATCGGAGAAACAGCTTCTGAGTTATGAGTAATCCACGCTATAAACCATTTTATCGTGTAACGTGTGCGGAGGGTGTTATTACGTAAAATGCATGCCCTAAGCCCGCAGTTAATGCCTAATGAATATTGAAATTGTCTTCTTTTTAGTATGCGTAAAATTATGTTACAAGTAGGTATGTGCAAACGTTGTGTTACGAAAAATATTCTTAAAAATAAAAGATCAAAGGCAAATTATTAGGCCAATCGACTGTTAAAGTGTAGCTTTGCCTGCAACTTTCCATGCAAGCCTTAGTATGTATATTGTCCCCTTTTCTGTTCTAGTCTAAGGAAAAAGTAATGCCTGTCAAGTGAAGTCGACTGGCAATTTGCAATGGGGCGACCATCAGTTTCGGATGCATGATATCAAGAACACATTAAACATCGATAATATACGAATATATAATAATATATACACACGACACCACACACACACACACGACCACACACACACACACACACACACACACACATCACGTTCGCACACACAGCACACACACACACACACACACACACACACAGCATTTGACACACATCACACACACACACACACACACACACACAGCACAGCTATATATATATAGTATATAATATATATATATATATATAGAAAGATAGCGAAGAGAGTCAGAGAAAATGCGAGAGAGAGAGAGAGCACCGAGAGAGATATATATATGAATACAATTATATGCTTGAAATGGGAAAGAGTCGCCGACTCTATCTCTGTCCATGTCATCTTGTAGTATGTTGTAGTGTATTGATGATATTATTGTGTATGTAGTAGATTTTGCTTGAAATTTGAAACCTTTCCTCCAAATGCTTACCGACTCATAGCAGGTTTATTTGTATGTATTGATTGGATATTATTTGTGTATGTAGTTAGATTTTTGCTATGAAAATACGACTTTTCTCTACAGCTACGCACTAATTTAGCAGGAGTAAGATAATAGTAGAAATATCTATATTATCTCCTCCTGCTAATAGTAATGGATTAATAGCAGAATGCATGCAGAAAAAACATGCACCCGTGGCGCCCCTCTATGTGAAAGCGGCAAAGTCTCTACCATCTGCTGTCCATATAATTTGGACCAGCTAATAGTAATAGAAAATGTCGTATGCCATAAGGGCAATAACGTATGCAATAACGTATCACTCCGGAACAAATACACGCTTGCAGGGGGATCTAGAAGGGCGTCGAGGGGTCGGACCCGCCCCGCTTTTTACCACAGAAAAAGGAAAGAAAACATACACATCAGCACGCACGCACGAGCAGCTAACGCACGCACCGCCGCGCAGGCAGCGACACAATCACAAGCCCGGGACACACACACACACACACACACACACACACACACAACACAACACACACACACACATCACACACACACACACACACAACACACACTCGCCCAACACACACACTATGGAGCAGCACAGACACGCACAACACACCACTTCTCTTATTTGTCTCCTATAAAAAAAATCTTGTTTAGCGCTAGTTTTCTGATAAAATTTATCTTATATATATTAAATTCGTTATAAAAACCTAGAATGGGCAAAAAGGGGTCCGCAAGGCGTCCGGTGGACCGGATGTCTGATAAAATTTGTGCAGTTTAGAGCATCAAAAAATTACTGCTCATATGTCTCTCAGCAATGCACCAATTTTTTAAAAAAATCCCAAAGGTTGCCTTCGGCAGCAATTTTAAAACCCAGAAAAAGTAAGCAGGAAAAACTGCCCTTTATTCTTCCTGGACACCACCCCCTTTCAAAAAATCCTCGATCCGCCCTGCTATACTTGTGTGCCAAATGTTGTCTCCGTAAGATTAGATGTGCGATAAATATCACTGGACGGAAGCAATAGCTAAACTGTTCATTCTAAAATTATATTTTTTTTTACCAAATGTAAATTAATAATATGATCACCACTGTCTACACATACATATCCCATAATACTAATACCACTATAATATGTTGGATGTGTGTGGTGTGTTGTGTGTGTGTGTGTGTTGTGTGTGTGATGTGGTGTGTGTGTGTGTGTGTGATGGTGTTGTATGTAGTGTGTGTCGCCGCGAACGCGTGTGAATGTCAGTGTGTGTTGTGTGGGGGGGGGGGGAGCGTGCATAATTGATGATCGTTCATCGATGAGTGGTGTATAATATGAATGGGTGTGTGGGGGGG